TCCCACAGAGCAGGCAACACAGAAAACACAACAAAATACATCTAATAAAAATCCTCTCTATTAAAGCAAAGCATACAAAACACAGAACTAATAAACATAGATTATTCATCTACGCAACAGTAAATAAAAGATACATATATATCTTTAAAATGAAGACTGGATAATGAAAGTCCGATTAAATCTACTCTATCTTGTGGTTGACAAATACATTTTTATTGAGTTAGAGTGTGATTTGTCTAAAAAACCCCACATTTTAGAGGTTATTACTATCCTCTCAACTACATCAGAGTTTCAAAAGGAGCAAATGTCCTGCCAGGTGTCTTCTAAAGCCAGCCTCACCTGGGGGGTGTGATATAGCCTGGCAGACAGTGTCTGGGACCAGCTGAAAGCCCCCATCAAGCTACGCGATGTGTTCTCATATCTGACTTTTATTGTGACGGGGTTTTGCAAAACAAGCAGAGGCTACACAGATCACTGTACATGTAAATTTTTTAATTACACTCAGTAACAGATTTTTTTACGCCCATGTCACATTGCAGGTGAAGATCCAGGTCATAGTCATTCTAAAATAATAAAAGATCCATTGGACTTTGCTTCCAAGTTTGAAGTTGGTTCACTTCTCATCCAGGAAGCGTTTTGAATTCAAAACATCACATTACTTTAATTCAATTCATTTATGTAGCACCAATTCACAACACATGTTATCTAAATAGACTTTACAGAGATATTCAACAAGATCATCCGACGGTATAAGAGGCATTACACAATAGGAAACTAAATACTTTCAAATCACCTACATGAACTGTGAGTCTGTCTGCCATAAAATTCCCTCCATTTTAGCGTTGCGTCTCACCCTCGCTGTGTAAACCACATACTACTTTCTGCACAACTATAAATCAAATACTGCAGCAACAACCTTCTGAAAGTGCTACTTAATCCGAAGCTTTACATCCATCAGCATTCAGGATGCTTGAACCGATCGCTCCAGGTATTGTTAGTGGTTAAGTCAGTTGCTCATTGTTCGACCTGCTGGGGTCCTGGTGGATTACTATAATTTGGTCAATTGAATCGCACTGACCCTGACCCTGACCCTGCAGTACTCCAGGAATTCCCCACTCTTGATTCTAACTTTCAGTGAGAGAAAGACATTTTTAGTAAGATAGGAATATGTGACAGCTTTGCTTGTTTCTGTTGTGGTCTTCTAGGATCTAGTGACCTGGATGCATCAATAAAACCAGTTAGTTGGCTGAGAGGTGATGGGACCATTTAGTTGCTGTTCTCGAGAGAAGCAGGTTTCTTCCTGTTCTCTAATGTGACCATGCAGTTTATGTTTATGATGCATCTGCTTGATCTCCTGCAGTTAAAAGTTTTGATTCTAGCGGAGAAGTCTCCCAAAGGTCTCTTGACAATCCTTCTTGGATTCAAGTTTTTCGTGCTCAGTTCCAAGAATAAAATAAAAACAAATAGAAATAAAATTAAGAATCTCTTGCAAATTGAGTTAATTGTGGTTGATATTAGGGGTACTGAAAGTTCAATGAGCAGTAACATTTGAACTTTAATGCTTTTTCAATTTAATTAAGTTTATTTACAGTGCCATTTCACAACATGTCATCTCAAGGCCCTTTACAATTCAACCAGATCATACAGTCAAATTTTCTATCTAAGGAAAACCAGTTGATTGCATCAACTCATTGACTCCAAGGCAATCCCTCACACTAAGCATGCCTGTAGCAACAGTGGAGAGGAAAAACTCCCTTTTAACAGGAAGAAAACTCCAGCAGAGGCAGGCTCAGGGTGAGCGGCCATCTGCTGAGGCCGACTGGGGTTCAAGTTCATTCATCATTATTATTGTTCTGAAAGAATTTATAAAATTCAGTTGAAGCTAGTTACAAAATGTGAGAACTGTCTGGAACTAATACTGTAGGAAGGGTCTTTGGATTCAGGCCATTTAGGATCTGAAAGTTTTAGGAAGCTGGGATAAATAGTAAGTCTGGAGGAGGAATCCACCCGTACCTGCTTTTCAAGGTCAAAAGCCATGACTACCTGTGTACCAGACTGTGGGAGGGGATAAAATCTTCCAGACTAGTTTTTGGTAGAGTTTGGGTCCCCAGCAGCCTCCTGGGAAGGCCAGAACTTTATACATAGACAAGGTTTAAGATTGTGGAAGAATCTGTGCCATTAAACACATACAGTCTCCAATAAGTAATGGATTACATTATCAAATCGTAAAACTATGCCAACGTTAAGGTTAACGGAGCTGTTTTTCTGACCCCTCCATCTGCCCATCTACAATAATCTATTTCAGCTCCCTGAGAGGCCGCTCTCAATCTGAGGTTTGCAAAGTGGTCACTGGCGTTCCATCGGTCTGTGGTTAAAATGTGAAAAATGGCCTCTGGACATGTTTCAAACTGTCATCTGTAAGCCCTGAAAATGCTCCGTAATAGCACTCCATTATGCATTTTGAGTATTGTTGCTTGGTGACAGAAGTGCCTAAATGGCTGGTGAGACCATCCATTGGTCACTCAGAACCGTGGGCTGACAGTTCTGCACTCGAGCCTCAAAGTCCTCTGAAAACCACAGCTGGTGATTGGAAGGAAATCATCAAGCTGCTGGAGGATGAGGAACAACTCTCTTTTATTTAAAAAGTCCCATTTGAAATATATCATAGTGTTTTATAAACTTGTCTCATTCTCATGTTGATAGGAATATTGTGTAATATAACCACTCAGATGAATCTTTAATAAAAGCATTCCATAAGAGATGCAGCAATAACAGTTTTGTCTGAACAATTTGATTTATAAAAAGAGAATTACCGCTTCACATTCATCTTAATGTTCTCTCACCACTTTCACTAAAGCTGATTTTATTTCCTTTATCTCCATTATTTCCAGCTCTGCAGCCCTGTTCGTTCTCTCAGCAGCAGCTCGCTGGGTTTTTAAAACCTTCTCATCTGCACCATGTTTTCACTGCTCTGCAGGATTCCCCAGCATACCAGTTCTCTTTGCCCCAGCTGGAATAATACCAGCCTCCAGCAGTGGACCGGAACTCAGGGAGGATTTGGGCACAATAAACAGATTAAGCTATTATTGTAAAATAGTTGTGTAAATTGTCATTTTAACAGAGGGTGTGCAGGGTCCTGTCGTGTTATAGACTGGTGACATATAGAAGATTTCGTTCACCACTGGAGATAGAAACCAGTTTTCCACTAACAGACCCTGGAAGGATAGATGGGTTTGGATGCTCTCTTAAACCAACCATTATCTCACTGCACAAACACCCAGGTTTAATCCGACTCTTTGATTTTCATACAAGAGATTCTCCTGCATATTTATCCCGTACCTGACATGATTCTCTCTCTTAAACATTTGCATTCTTCAGAGTCACCTCTTACACACGTTTAACATCCTTGTGCAACTCATCTTTATTCCACCTGAGTGGCCTCTACCAACCCTTTTCCTTAACGCTGTTGAATCTTCAGCCTGGTTTTTAGTTGTAGGACCACTCACAGAGCTTTTACTCTGACGCCAAGCTGCACTTATATGTTCACATTGATCCTCGGGTCAGAAATCAAGTTGAACAAAGGAACATGAAGGTGTGGCAGGAAGAAGGTGTTATCAAAAATAGAACTTTCTGATTACATGAGAGCAGCTCTTTCCAAAGTGCCACCCAGACAACAGCTGTTCTCAGAAACATTTACTCACTGCTGTTAGAACGGTTGTCCATAAAATACCCATCTGGACAGATTTGGATCGCTGCCGTAATGAAACACACACATCCTGATACACACTGTTAAACAGTTTGTCTCTATGGCTGGAATCAGCACTCAGCAGTTGTTGGTGCAGTGACCCGCACGCCTCCAATATGGCCGCCATATGTAATACTTTTGTTGCTGCTTGTGCCCAAGGCCAGGCAGAGATAGATTCTTAGGAGCAACATTCAGAGTGCATCTGCTTATCCTGTATAAACTCAAAAACACATAGATGTACATTTGAGGTAAATACATTTTTTTTTTTTTTTAAGATTATGGTCCAAATCCCAAACCAGCCCCTAAACACTAACCCTGAGCACTAACCCTCAGTTTGCGCATTCCCACGGAAGGTCCGCCACATTAACCCTAACCATGTAGAGGGTTGGATGAGTTGACCGTCCAGGAATTTTTAAAAAAAGGGGCAATTGTTATATGTTATGTCAAGGTGCGCCAGAAAGCTGCAGCCATGAACATGGGGTGTCACTGTGTTGCGATAGCAACGACTGCTTTGCTTTTCTGTTGGAGGAAAGAGGCTGTCCCATACATGTTTATACCCCCCACCTTCAATCAAGGTGCATTCCACAGCTGCAAGCATGACTCCATTGAGAGTGACACTTGATAGTTAAGGGTTCTTGCTTAGGGGACGGTTTGGGATTCAGCCTAAAAGTCAGATTTTTAAAGATTCTAGCTAAGGAGAGCTAAACTGCAAGTGAAAAGATTTTTTTTTTTTTGTTAGTTAGTTAAAATCTTGAAGTAAAGGAAATGTGCTTCAGTTCCTTGTGGGTTTAGTTAAAATGATTTAAGTACAGGAACCTGGAGAGTGTTCTGACATTTAACACAACAACAACAACAGCAAAAAATAATTTAAATTATTTAATTTGAAACTAAAAAGAGTATTTATGTGTACAATTCTCGAGGATAACTTAAAAAAATCAATTGTGAATAAGCAGGAAATGTAAGCATATTCCTTTTAGCAATGGTAAATCTATCTGTGTATCTATCTTGGTTAGTTTGCTTGGTGAAATATTGCATGAACAAGATGCAGTATTATAGTAGATGCTGCATTATAAACCAAAACTGAAACAGAGCCTCAAGCTGCTTTAGTCTTATCCTTATCAGGGCTTCTGACTCTGGTTCATTCTGATTGAATCCAGATCGAAGGCTTCAAAAGAAGAGATCTTCAAAGCCTTAGTTTTTTCTGCACAACTTCTAGTAAGTCGCCTACACAGTTTTAACACGTTGCCAGGCTCACCTGTATATCAGGATATCATCGGTGGAGCTGTTATACTGGATCTGGTACATGCGAACCCCTGGTATGTGGTTCTGAGGCGGCCACCTGATAATGGCAGAGCTGGAGGTAACGTCCGAAACGCTGACCCTCTGCTGGTCGGACCTGGGCTGGCCTCCGCTGACGTTAGATTTTATGGATGTTGGGATGTCTGAGGGCCCTGGGTCAGGGTCCAGTTTGGGGTCAAAGTGTGGAGAAGGGTTGACAACTAATTCAACGGGAGCAGTGGCCTCACCGGCAGCATTTGATGCTATGCAGGTAAACTTTCCAGAATCCTTAAGGAAAGAAGAAAAAAAGAAACACGACATATTAAGGGCCAAACATACAGCAACCCAGGATGAGAAGCAGGTTATGCATCATTTGCCCTATATAGGGTTTCTGCATCTGATGCAAAAATCATCTAATGCCCAATCTTGAATCAGCATTTATTCACTGTTCTGCACAAACCTGGTAATGAGCCTTTCACCTGATTTAGGTGGTTTGGAAAGGGACTGGATGTAAAAACTTAAAAAATGGAAATACTTAACCATCCTTTAAGAAGTAATGTCTACTATAACCAGTCTTGCAGATGGCTTCGCAGTTCTAAGTTCAGTCAGATAGGTCGATAAACGCTGAGGTATTTATCTACCTTCACCACATCCACTTCCTCTCTCATAATGCTATAATTCATCGAGTTGTTCCTGTTCTTTTTTTACTTTGTCCATTTTCAGGATCAGACACTTGGTTCCACACCATGCCGTGAAGTGATTTACTGGTTCCTTGTACTCAGTGTCTTGTCCATCTTTGATAACTACAAAGTCATCTGAGGATTTCTGCAGTTACCAGGAGTCTTTTTTATTCTGGGAGTTGGAGGTGTGCAGAGTAAGCAGCAGCTTCCAGTTTATGGCTCAAGAAGCTCAGGGTACAATTATTAAAGGTTTCCTCTTCTGTTGGCGTTGCTCAACAAAAGTATGTTTTAAGATAATTTGAGGTGAGAATATCATACTTTTTAGCTTCAGTATATGAGACTGTGACTGTGGCAACCAGTGGAGCTCCAGGGCTATGCAACCGGGGCTAACATTCTCATGGTTTTGGTTTTGTTTAAGTTTTATCTGAGTTTTCATTGGTCTTATTTCCATTCTTGTGTTCTAGGTATTAATGATTGTATTTGAGTTCTTAGATATTTATTGTTGGCCCTCATGTGTCAGTCTCCTTTCCCCTAGCTCCCTTCTTGCCTCTGTTCAAACTTGCTCCAAATCTGGTAATTAGCTTGGTCTTTGTTTCTCTCTCCGATTTATTCTCCTCCGGTTTAGTCACTCTTTGCTGGTTTGTCGTCATTACTTTGGTTTTTAGCATTTTTGTGGATTTATGTTTTTGGATTTTTGCTTATGTTACCCTTTTTATTATTAAACATTCAAGAAACCACCTCAAGCTTTTGTCTGCATTTGCGTCCTGTCAAACCACCCCCATTGTGATAAACGTTAGCCTGTCGGCAGCGGCATGGTGGTGTGTGAAGAACCGCTGGCGCTGATGTTGTTTTTCTTTTTTGAAAAAAACTTTAATTTGATTTGTTTTTATCTAAATCTTTAATTAGTATAGGGCTTGGTCGTCATGACGTAAGCACTTTGCGTCGCCACCATCTTGACGGCCTCTTTTACCACGGCTCAGACTTCTGCCTATGATTACGCATACTGTACTCCTTCTCAGCTGTGTTTTAATTTGATTAATTTCACCTTAACTTGATTTCAACCATGGTAAACCGTTGCTGTATTGTGGGCTGTAACAGCTCAACACATGATCGCCATGGGAAAATCATAGAAAATGGGTTAACTTTCCACCGCTTTCCTGCCTGGAGGCATAACCATGGAGACCCAGCGTCAGAGATAAATAGTCGTCGGCTAGCTTGGATCGCGGCTGTAAGACGACCGAACATAACTTTCCACAGTATCCCGATGTCATTGAGAGTGTGTTCCCTGCATTTTCATTCTGGTAAGTTAAAGATGCACAGTTTTATTTTATAGCCTACTTTGTTTCTTTCCTTCAAAGTTGGGATCTTTTACGGTAAAATAATAAAAACTGCAGCGGGAAAAGGCTCAAATACGTGAGAAACCCGGAGGGTTGGCAGTTAACGTTACTAACTACACCTTTGAAACACATAGCAGCTAGTTAAAAGTACATTACATGCGTGAGTGGTTGTTAGCACTAGCGGTTAGCAGTTACTAAACTAGCAGGTTCCAGAGCCCGTCTGATCACAGCTTACCTTTGTACGGATTACTGTGTTCCCACTGTTTGCTGGCTTTATGATCTGCAGCTCCTGAACCCATCCATTCACGAACTGCACATGAGACTCCAAGGACTTGTAGCTTCAGAACTGTTTTGAAGTATAGGCGCTCACTCATGGGTGCTCCACTCATTGTTTGGAACTTCATATGGATCCAAATTATTAATAATGCTGATTTTGTCCCGCTTCTCTATTTAATGTGTCCCGGTAAATTCCAGATCCTTTTCTGGATTTTAACATCTTTTTTCTCTCTACTTCTACGTCTCTTCTTTCAACAACAACGTTGTATCAGAGCTATGTTTACGTTAGCGTAGCCGTCAATATGCTCGCCACGTCCCACAATGCAACGCAGATCCCGAGCCCTATTCCCCCACTAAATGAAAAAAGTGAAAAATACATTATTATATAGAGACAACAGGGGTTGAAATGCTGGTCCAGATGAGCTGTGCATTTGGTGATGTCATGAGAAGGTTTCTGTTCCAATTGAACCAGATTTATTCTGCGAGCTCCCTCTCTCCCCAGGTCCATACTTCCCTTGTTCTTGTCAAGAATGTACTTGGTGAGAGCACGAGTCAATGTTGTGTTCTTGTGAATTGAGATACAGCCTTATGGCCTTATAGTTGTTGAGGGCTTATTGCTGAGTTTTTATTTTGGTACAAGGCAGGATGTGTTCCTAAACACTAGAACATTTTCCAGGGCTTTCTTCTGTCTTTTCAATCACCATGATTTTATCAGTCATCTTATGCTACGATTGAACCAAAAGCTGCGGGGGCAGCAGAAACAGCTAGTTTACATGCAAAGTCAATGGTTGACGCGCATCAAGGCGCAGCAAAAGGTCCTGCAGTGCGTTTTGAGCAGCAGGAGCAGAGCGTTTGATCAGCTGAAGTAGCTTGTCATGAGCTTCTGACCATCTTATATGCGGGACACGCTTCAAAAGCAGCAGCTACTCGAGTTTGAAAAATGTAAATTTTGCTGCTGGACATGCCACATTAACCAATCAGAGAAGCTGATCTGGGAGCTGGCATGGAGACAGACACAGCGCTGCTGATGCAGATCGCTATGATCACCTCTGTAAAACAGTTTAACGCTTAAATTAACTTAACCATATTTAACAATAATTTAATTAAAGATGATTGTCCCTGTGTTAAACAGGTTTAGCCAGTTTCTCTAAAGCTAAGGTACATTAAATGAAAGAATAACAGCCTAAAAACTGGGAAATTTGTATTATGAGGAAAAGTAGCACACTATTACTGGCTGGTTCTTTGTGTTCAAATCAGCAAAGGAAAAAGAAAATCTGCATAACAATTCAAAATAACATCATTAAAGCAATGCTTGATCCGCCTACCTTAACTGAGGCCTTCAGGATGTCAAGTGACCCGTTCTCATAGCAAACGGTTCTGGAAGTGTTTCCGATCAGCTTTCCGTCAGGGCTGACCCAGTGTGTGGATGGTTCTGGATCCCCAATGGACTTACAGCGGAGGCTGACTTCCTGACCCTCCATCACAAACATCTTAGAGGTGTGACGAGTGATCATGGGTGGCTCACAGACAAATTCTTCCTGCCAGGAGAAAAACAATGAAATCCTGTTTAGGAGGGAAATCTGCAGGATGCCCCATATAGAAGCTGAGGATAAAAATGTAACTTAGTATCACTGAATAAAATCAAACTTGGTTACTTCTTGGGCATACTGTTTCTGTTTGAGTCAGTCATGTATATTTTAACAAGAGCAAAACATGTTGATTTGTTAAGGTTTTATAAAACCATCTACAGATTCTGAAACCTCAATAAATTGAGCCCAAACCACGGTGAGGTACCAGCAGAAGTCCAGGAGGGTTTTGATAAATCGTGTTTCCAACTGAGCTGATAGCTGACCTGAAGACTGCAGTCAAAATAAATATCTTTAAAACATTCAGGTCTTTCTTTTCATCTACCTCCCAAGCGTTTCTGTTAAACTCAGGGCAGCCAGTGGAGGCTAGACCCCGGAGAGTCCACTCAGATGAGGAGCAGTAGGGGAGATAAATCACTGTTTCTTCTGAAAACCAAAAAACAGAAAGCAAATCAGCTATTTTAAACACCCTCACAGGGATTATTATGTTTTATTCTAAAGAAAACAGCCTTTTGTGATATCAGTTAAATCAAACCTCGGTGTGTGGAGGGCGGTAGTAGTGGGAGCTCCCATGACCTCGCAGAAGGAAGCTGCTTATTAAATTGTGAACATTAATGAGCGCCAACACTTCAATGACATAGAGGTCTCTGAAATAACCTCTTCAAGCTAATCCTCTTATTCTACCACGCCTCTCTGAGGAAGGTCTACATTTATTACCTCAAGTCAAGCAGAGGTTTTTAGAGCAGCACCCACTTTAAGATAAAAGCTGATAATCCCATGTTTATCCCAGAGAGCACCTCCATGTGAAGCAAAGCGCTCTATACCACCTTCTGATCTGCAAAGACCTGACACACTCAGTTCTCATAATTAAACCTGACTGGAGCTTGAAGAAGTCAAGAACCACAAACTTTTTCCAAAGCCTAAAAACATCCCTGTCAGAACAGCATGCTAGAAATCTCTCTCTGCAGAGGCTTATATCCATCTGTCTCATGGATCCAAGTTTTTGTAGGCACAGGCATCTTCTGCACAGGTTGTGCCATTATTTCAACAGCTCAGTGTTAGCAGAGTCAGTCTGATGAATAAATATTGTTTCAATCAGCATAGGGTTTGGTACTGACCAGCATTAAAACCTCTAAAAAATATCATCAATCAGTCAAGGAAAACATTCAAGATGGATTGAGGGTAGCGGCGACCTAGCGGTTAGGGCATTAAGCTTGGAATCCGGAGGTTTTGAGTTCAAGCCACAATACCACGGACTGACACTCTGGTTCCCTGAGCAAGACCCTAAAGATTGCTGAGATCTGCAATAGTTAATTTCATTGTTCTTTAATTGTGACAGTGTAATGACAGTTAAAAAGCAATGAAAAGCTGAGGCTGAAGCCAACCATGAATAGTAATGGATTTACAGGATGCCATTGTTATCTGAAAACTCAGTGAATGCTAGTCTGTGCTGCCATGATCAGCTTTCACTGGAGAATTCTGCAGCACAATAAAGGTTTTGTTGGAGAGATGATATGGCGTTCCTGAAATTGAAACAATGAGCTTGACTGATTAATGACTACTTTATCAGTTTTCCTTTCATTCCTCCTCTGCCTGCATCCTCTCCACTTCTCTTTGGTTAACAGATCTCAGCAATCTTTAGGTTTGAGCGTGTGTGCACGGTTATGAGTGTCACTTTATTGCCTTGCGAAGGACTTAAGAACTGTGCAGGGTGTCTCTCACCAAAAGACTGCTGGCAGTACATACAAGCTTCCCAATGACCCAGAAAGGAAAACAAGGCGTGGGTGTAGGATACTGTATGTCCCTACTAAAAGTTTGGACTGACCTACTTGTCCCCACCAATAATTTGACGTGAATAATGTATTTCATTTACAATGCAGCATTACAATACAGTCACTTCTTTTTCAAAAAACTAAATATTGTCTGCAATAAAACAGGCAAAAACTCATTTTTATTTTTCAGAACTGATTGCAGTTCTGTAAAGAAGCAGGAGAGTGTTGTGATTTGTGGAACTTGGAAAATGTAAGTAACCAATGTTAGCATCTCAAAATAATAGTTAAATTTGTAGTATAATACATGTGATCAACAAAAACCCTTTCTTCTTTTATAAAACTAAATATTCTTTGACAGACTGGAGTTCAGATTCTTAGCGACAACCGACATAAAAAGAAAATGTGAAGGTTTCGCTTTTGCCAGTATTTCTTTACTATTACTGTTTTCATTTTTGACAACCCAATGAGGTAGTTTAGGTATAAATAGCAGGAGTATTTTTTTTTATAGAGTAATACAACATGTAATATTTGGATGAAATAGAATGCACTGAATGAATGAATACACTAAAAGTAAACCAGGCCCAAGTTAATTTACATGTTTTGGATGCTGTTATCTACACTTCATATGTATTATGTAAGAAATGTGTTCGGAATGTTACAATAAAACACTTGAAATGGGCTAAACAGGGTAACTGCAGCCCAGTTGCACAACTTGTATATTAAGTTAATATTTTAAATGCTAAGTGTCAGTTCCTCTTATAGATCCCGCTTACATGTTAATACAATAAATCTATTTGCAGTCCCATGAATTTATTATTTTGCTTTGTTTTACAATACAAAGAATATCAGCATAACAGAAAAAAAAATAAGAGTGGATGTTACCTCTGTTTACCTCTGCAGAATTCTATATCTTAAAAAGAAAATACAGGATAAATCCACATACAAGAGACATTTTTAGGCTATATTTAGTTAAATAGTCATGTATTCACCGCCTGTCTTCGTTGCTGTTAAGTTCAAATGTAACCTCTTTTAAAGCAATTTGTATAAATCTATCAAAAAATGCAGTTTTCTCTTTAAGCAAAATGCGCCCTGATGCTCAATTCAAGCATTAAAAACAATTTTGGAGCATGCATATTGCATAGGACCAATGACATAAGACCAATGAAACTTAAGACCAATAGTGTCCCTATCAAAGTTGAGATCAAATCTACGCCCTTTAAAGAAGGTATAGACAAGTTTGACCAGCTTCAATGCCTCATGTGGCTCAAAACGTGCCAGCCAATGTTTTACTGGGCAACACATGGTCCACGGAACGAAATAAAAAGCCCCCCCCTACTTTTAAATGTACTCTTAGCCAAACCTAATGAGCATCAAATTTATCAAACATCAAACAAATTTTATAAAAACTATCAGACATTTCAAAGTAATGTTTTATGTTAAATGAAATCTAACTACTTAGATTCTAACTACTACAGCAGCTACACTGTGCTTTCAGTCCATCACGATTATCCCACTAAAATATGCAGTTCTTGTCCAGAGTACCAGGCCTCCTGCATACTGCTGTTTGTAGGAAGTGAAGTGTGTAGTGCAGCAATAATGATCAGCTCTCTGTTACTTCTACATAATCCATTCTTCCAGCTTTTTTTAACCATTGAAATTGAACTCCCTTGATATTTACTTATTTTTCACATGCAGAATGTCTGCAGAAGCAATGACAGCTTGCAGGTAGTGTTTGTCTCCGCCAAAAACTCCTGGATCAGATTTTCTGATTGGTTGATAATCCAGTGTCCTGCGGCAAAAGTTCAGTTTGCTGAACCCCAGCGGACGATCAGACGCCTGAACGCTGGTACGCCAGAACAGTTTAAAATGCGCCGCTCTCGCCGCTCAAACACCCAGCAGGACCCTCAACGCTCTCCTCCATAGACTTTACATGTAAACCTAACGCCTCCAGTGTGAACACAGTTTTAGAGCGCAGTTTAGTTTTTGGCTAGCAAAGCAGTGATTATCATATTTAATGTCTTTAACCCTAACCCTTCAGAATATTCCAAATATGGATCGTTGGCTAAAACACAAATCTATGTTATTATCAACAGAAGAACCAGCTTAAAAAACACAAATCAAAAGCGATACCGGACCCAGTGATGTTGGGGTTGATCCAGATACCGCTGACCCTTCATCAGTCAATATCACTTAGTGTTGGGAGCTGGAGTAGTACCATCTTTCTCCAGCAGAGTCCGCCGTGGATCCTCCTGAGCAGAGCCTCCTGCACAGCTGTTGCTCATTACCATCATCAGAGGATCCACTATATAAGCTGTCTTCAGACCTTGCCTCAACGC